TGCAGGGAGATGGGTGCTGGCAACAGGAGGGAGATGAAAGGATGCAGGTTGCCACTTGGATAAAGTGGGAATGGCTCCTGATGATGATGAAGCAGCATGAGGGCCATCCATCCACAGGAAGAGAGCAAAGCAGTGCCAATGAGCAGCAGCCCAATGTGGATGGAAAATGGTAGGAAGGATGAGGAGGAGACATAGGGTTTAGGAGGCCTCACAGAACAGGAGCAGTGTTGCAGGCAACGCTGCAAGGATGGTATATAACCATGCTCCTTGTCATAGCAAGTGAGTGGATGGCCATCCACACTACACCATATATTACTAGTTATAGCTTTCACAGAAGTATACATTAGTATTCAGTTGACCATAGCAATTGCAGAGCATTTGCTTCTATTGTAGCTCATGTGTTGTTTCACCGCTCATTGACATCATCCAAAGGTGGTTCAATCTGCAGTCCAGATATCAATCAACACCAAAGGCAGTTCATACTGTGGTCCAGCTCTCTCAATCATTAGAACCAAAGGCAGTTGTCCACTGAAGTCCAGGGATCAGTCAACACACTGGACACTCTTGTCAGTGCCAACAACATCACTCACACCAGATCTTGGTGTCATCATAATACATTCATCATTATTGATTGTGCCAAGCTACCTCTGGATGGAGTGTCCACAGCAGTCAGTCGAAACCTGCAATAGCAAACCAACTATCACATATTAGAGTGACAAAAGTCATAGAGGCCTTCTATGACAGATCTTGATCAAAATAATAATACACAAGACTTTATCACATAACTCGATGGGATCTGTAATAGAAGTGGTTCTACTACAGATATCAGGTTTCAGGCGCGAGACCCGTGACAGCTATAACTTCACAATAAGTATACTTAGTAGATTCGTCACCAGTAGCAATTACAGAGCATTGCTACTACCATAGTGTGTGTGTTGTATCACTGCTTGATGCCATCTGAAGGCAGTTCACTCTGCAGTCCAGAGGTTGATGGACACCAAAGGTGGTTAATACTGCAGTCTGGCTCTCTCAATCATTAGAACTGAAGGCAGCCATCCACTGCAGTCCAGGGATCATTCAATCACTCATTGGAACACTGGACACTTGTGTCAAATTCATCACATTAGCTTCAGACCTTGGTGCCACCTTATCTCAAGGTATCTACAGGATATTGATTTTGCCAAGCTACCTCTGGATGGAGTGTCCCCAGTGGTCAGTCAAAACCTGTGATAACCTTCAAGCAACCATATATTTGAGCAAGAAAAGTCATAGAAGGCTTCTATGAAAGATTTCAGCAAGAATAATAATAATGGGCATTTACCACAGATCTTGCTAAGATCAGTAGTAGTTGTCTTTTTACTACAGATTTTGGGTTTCAGGTGCGTGACCTCTGACACTCACCTTCCTACCATCAACTCCTCTTCTCACAAGGGTCGCTCAACATTGACCTTGCTAATTCTTCTTTTCCCACCCAATTCCCTCCCTTACAATCCACCTGTATGGCCTTCTCTTTTCTGAGCTCGATCGCCCCCCTTACAGCAGGCTGGGAGCCTTTGAGCCAGTGAGCCACCTCACTGGCCCAGAATCTAACAGGACTCCTGTATCGTTCTCTGTATTGTGTGATCTCTATTTGAAGATACATCGGTATTTCAAAAGGTCGACATGTTAAATCAGAGTACTCAGAGTTGGGAAACCAGAAAGATGCCAAGCATTGAAGAGAATGAGGTAGATGCAAAGCTTGTGGTAACACATGCAGCCTATGCTTGTGGATTGATTCCATGGTATGCAGGGGGTATGTTGACATGACAACTGTCATGAAAGGAGATACATGGTCTATGGACAATGACTTGGAGAGTGAGTGTAGTTGGATGTTAAGGTATATATACTCCCATTCAGTAACTACCATCCCATTGAAATTCAAGCTTTTCTCACTTAGATACACCCGACTGCGAAAAGCGCCAGATAGTGGCCTCTAGAGCGGTGTACCTAATTTCAACTTCTCGTCTATATGGCCGTGTGAGTCAGGCTGGGATTCAAGTAGCTACACACCTCCGGTAATGAGGCCTGATTGTGGCCTCAAAGTGATGTTGTTATTGAAAATGACGATCCAATATGATGATGTTGGTTGATGTAAGCAGATACAAAAGGGATTGGGCAAAGGACAATCTAATTGGAGTTCAAGGATTGGGTACAACCTAGTCCCACTCATTGTCAGTCCTCATCATTAAGTAGGATGTACCCATGTTTGGCAAGTGCCACTCACTTTGTATATATATCAAGTGGGGAGCTCGAGGCTCCTGCCACATTCTTTCCTTAGTCAATTGAGTATACATGTTTCTGTCTTAAAGCAGCACTACTCAGACTCTCCCCGATTGCCAGTTATCGGGACCAAAACATCTTCACTTTTCAATAGTTGTATCTTGCTATATTTCAACTGCTCACCTAGAAAATCCCGTCGTTCTCTAGTGTCTTCCCTGTATTCCCCCTTTTGTCTTCATGCTCTCTTGCGCCCATCCAGGCCCCATACGGCGGTCCGGGAGCCTCTCGAGTCTGTGAGCACACTCACGCTCAATCCCGCAATCCTAATTTCCCTTTATGCTCTCTCATATTGTCTTTGCTATGGCATAAATTGATGGTTAAGATGAAACATGCTTGGCTGCAACTTAGAAATTGGTGGGCATGTGAACGACAGAAGTGGAAGGCGGAAAGTATACAGCAAAGTCATGAGGCAGCACAGCGCGACCGTGACAAATGGATGGAGGTCCAAAGGGTTCAGCTCCGTTGAAGATAAGCGGAAATGTTCTCTTTCCTCATGCCTGTGTTGCAACTCCACTGCTCGACAATCGTGCAAAAGAAGGGTTGAAGTGACAAACCAAGTCGGATGCTCCGCTCTTTGGGCTTCATTCTTCACCATCACTTCTGCATGTGACCGACAAACTACATATAGAGAGCATCACCTTCGATCCATTCCGCTCTGCTCAACTCAGCAAGGGCTCAAGTCAACCTTTGATACAGATACCCCTACCGTCTCCACACTAGACTCAAACCTCCCACAACTATTTTGCAGTTAACATAGTTCATGTACATGTCAAATTCACCTAGGTCTCGGATTGGAAGTGAGGTCAGTGACATGCATAGCAGTCTGAATTTGCAAAATTTCAAGGCAGCAGATCCATTATGATTCTCACACTCATCTCATCTTGAACTTGTCCTGATCTCATCTCCATACACTCCTTTCTTGTTGGAACTGCTCAACATACACCACTTTGACATCAATGGTCAACATCTCACCTAGGAAGAGGGTTGTAAAAGCCCAGCTGCAGACTGACAGGGACCAGAAGGAGCATGACATCCAGGAAGCTCTTAGTGCATTCCAGAAGGGTCAATTCAAAGACTTGAAGGCTGCTGCTGAGCATCACAATGTCCCTTACAACACTCTCTGGGATCACAGCAAAGGGTGCAAGAGCCACACTGCTGCCTTTCAACATCTGCAAGCTATACAACCAGAGGCCAAAGAGCTCTTAGTCCAACATATACAGAAGCAGGCTCACTATGGTTTCCCAATAACACCACAGAATCTCAGACAGTTGGCCAAACAACTTCTTGTCACAGGGTCAGAAGGATAGCGCAAGAGAGTGCGCCAAATTGATCAACGGCAGTCATGGGAATGTCACACAATGGAGCAGTATATGAAGGGTGCGCAATGGATCAATATATGAAGGGAGCACCAGATTGATTGGCGCCAAACCATCAGGGATCAACAAGATTAATCAGGCTGGCAGTGCATATGAATTACAAGATCGATCGAACCCCATGTCATGGGCCTGAGTGCGCAGGAAGCAGGAAGAACCGCTAGTTCATATGAAGGGAGTGCAGGAATCAGGGGATTGGGCAGATCATAGGAATTGCAGCAGAAGTCGCCGAGATCTGCAGTAGAATTGGCTCTATGACAGATCTCAGTGAGATCGGTACGAACAAGGATGATATCATGAATTCTGATGAGGTCAGTAGTAGGAGAGGTCATATAGTAGATTCCGCAGAGATCAGTGACAAGGATGTTCGTACGATGAATTCACACACGCAGAGGACCAAGCTCTGCCAAGACAGGGACCGAGCTCAGTAAATTGCAGCTGGTTACCACTCAGGGGTTCACAAGATAGGAGTCAAGAGAACAGTTGCTGGTTAGGAGGAAGGAGAACTGTGTCAAGGACACCAGCATATAGTTCATGAGGAAGAAGAGCTGTGTTGAGGAGGTCAACACGCAGCTCAAGAGGGACAGGAGTAGGGTTACAGGGACTCCTGCATAGCACTCAATGAAGGAGGTACTCTCTGGAGAGAGAGTTGGAGCAGTGGTGCTGGCAGCACTGCGAAGAGGTATAAAGCCATACCTTCTCGTCACTAAGTGGTCGAGTGGATCCTCATCCACTCTACTCATCAAACAAACTAGTATTACTTCAAGCAATAAGTATCATTAGTTCACAGTCAGCATAGTAGTAATCAACAGATTGCTCCTCATCGAAGCACATGTGTTGTATCACTGTTTCCTGACATCTGAAGGCAGTTCTAGCAAACCAGTGGTCCGGATATCGATAGAACCGAAGGCAGTTGTCAACTGTGGTCTGGGGATCACTTCAAGCGTTAGTCGACACACTGGACACTTGTGTCGACATCATCTATCCATACTCACACCAGACCATTGGTGTCAACATCAAGTTCACTTAGAGACATATTGTAGTTTGATCATGCCGAGCTACCTCTGGACAGAGTGTCCACAGTGGTCAGTCAAAATCTGTCACAACATCAATACAACTACAGATTCCAATGAAAAAAGCGGCAGAGATGGTTCTGTCGCATATTACACTAGGAATTATAATACCACTAGCGCTGTCGCATAACTCGACAGAATTGGTGATAGTACTGATACTACTACTGATCTCAGGTTTCAGGCGTGCAACTGCTGACATTAGAGTGGATCGTTCAAGCAGCACCCCACAATCAACATGATGGACAAAAGCCTCAACGATAAGCTCGAGAGGCTACTCTCCTTAATGGAAGCCCAGTTGGAGCTTACCAGGCAAGGGCAACATGAAGAGCATCTATGCCATGCTCATCTGAGTGGAGAGGAGGCGATCGAGCCCTCCCACCCAGAGGATCAAGGGGCTAGGGAAGACATGATGGGAGACCCTCCCACACCATCCCCAGCATCGCGTCCAAGGCAGGCGGTATCATTCATGGGACCGAGCGAACCGCCGGTCGACAACTATGACAAGTACACCTCACCCACCGGGCCCAGATACTTCAGGCCCTGTGTGGATCCGTACAACTGGCCAAGGGCAGAACCTCATGGTTTCGACCAAGAGGATGATACAAGCACCACCAGAGACCCCAGTCTCTCGTGCTCCAAGCCGGTCGCCACCCCATTCCCCAAGTTTAATCCTAGAGACGTTGAGATTTTCATCCTTGAGGCTGAGGCATGGTTCAAATTCAACCAGGTCTATGAGCAGGCAAGGATGATCAATCATATGGGTGCTCAATTGGAAGGGAACGCTTGCAAATGGTGGACTTCCAAGCTTCGCATCAACAGAGGCCGAGAAGGAAGACTGTTCAATGATTGGCACTACTTCACTGAGCACCTGACAGAACAGTTCAATCCTTGGAACGCCAGAATGGAGGCCTATAACAAACTTCTGGCTCTCCAGCTCACAAGCGATGCACCAGGTGCAGCCACACGCCATGTCAAACGATTCAGAGACTTAGAAGGACAAGTCAATCTAGATGACAATGAACTAGTTATTGACTTGTTTAGGGGAAGTCTCACACGCAGCCTGCAGGAGAAGTTTGAGCAGAACCCACCTTTAAAGAGGTGGGAATGGTATCGAGAGGTCGAGGAGATCGACCAGCAAAGGATGCTGTTACAGCAGTCCTCAGCCCGGCACCCAAGCGCCGCTCCATTGCGACCAAACCCTGGAGGCCGACCTACACCACCGGCTCAAGGTCCATTCCCTGCACGGCAACCAACACAGACCTATTCCTGACCGCTGGCACAAACAACAATAGGGAACTTTAGCCAACCAACCAATTGGCTGTTACCCCATCAATCGGTTCAGGGTCTGAGACAAGGAAGCCCTGCATTACCAAGCAGCAACACCTGTCACCTGTGCAAGGGGCTCGGCCATTGGGCCAGAGATTGCCCAAGCAAGAAGCCGGACACCTTGGGGCCCTGACCCATGGGCCTGAAGGTAATGGTAACCACAGAAACCTCCTTTGAAGAAGGAGACCTGGACCCAGGGGATAACCAGACAGATGACCTAGAAACGGTCAACCCCGACGTCCTCGACTTCAGCCAGTATCAACCACCAATGGAGGCTGGCCAGGAAGAGGTCCAAGAAGATGCCGACGAGGGAAATGGCAGTGGGGTGATGCACTGATGGCATGCATTGCTCTGCAAACCTCCTCGCCATCCTTATGTATATATCAAGATTGCCCCATATGCTTCTCTACCAGCAGAGGAATGGTGGTACTAGAGCTCTCTGGAATGGTTCAAGACCATCCGGCTCGAATACTTGCTGACACCGGCGCTGGACTGTCAATAGTTTCAGATTCCTTTGTTAGTAAGTACCACATACCCACAAAACCCACAAAAACAAGAACCGTCCATGGTGTCACCAGGCACCAGCTTGCCATAAACAGTTCTGCTAGCATTCAAGTTGCTATCGGCAAGCACAGTCTCAGAGTAGTCGAAGCCTCAGTGGCCGATACTGCTGACTACGACCTTATCTTGGGCTTCACCGAGCTAAGAAGGCTCAAACCCACCATATGGTGGGAGATGGGCCAACTGGAGTTCCAGACCCAGGATGAGGACCGACTCCTGAAATGGCCCCCTGAAGAAGCTGTACCTGGGGAATTACACGTGAACTCAGTGAAATCTGTCATAAGAAGTGACTTATTACCGAATTTGGTGAAAGATGTTATAGCTAGTGAGTTAAAACAAGAGCCCACTATAGAAGACAGCCTATCACCAAATTCAGCTGGATCGGTGGTAACACACCTCTATGACGAGAAACCGAAACATCCGACCATTCATGGAAATGAGTTCATTTCAGCAGCAAGCCTGATACAAGCTGCCCTGGAGGACGGACCCATTGGGTTCATGCTCTGGACCTCCCACCCTCGTCGCTCCCGGCCTTCGGGTTTGTACCCACCAGCACCGACAAGGGCATAGAAATGGAAGTAGAGGTTGATTGGAAGGTATCAGCAGAAGATATACCAGAACCGTATCAACGGTTGCAGGATGTGTTCAATGAGGTGGAAGCAGATAAGCTGCCCCACCATATGGAGCATGATCTCCATCTGGAACTAATGGAAGACAGTAGGCTGCCACAGGGCCCACTATACCTCAAGGGGCCGAAGGAAATGGCTGAACTAAGGAAGTACCTCAATGAGAACCTTGCAAAAGGGTTCATACGCCCCTCAAAGAGCCCAGCAAGATCTCCAGTGCTCTTTGTGCCCAAGAAGGATGGAGGCCTCAGGCTATGTGTGGACTACCATGGCCTGAATGAAATCACCCTCAAGAATCGGGCACTGCTGCCCCTCATTGAGGAGCAGCTTTTCCTGCTCTGGAAGACAAAGATCTACACCAAGTTAGATCTGTGAGCAGCATACAATCTCATCTGCATCACAAAAGGGGATGAATGGAAGACTGCGTTTGGCACACAGTTGGGACTCTATGAGTACCTGGTGATGCCCTTCAGCCTGGCGAATGTGCTGGCCCATTTCCAGTCCTTCATCAATCACATCTTCCAAGACATCATCAGAGTGTTTGTGGTTGTGTACCTGGATGACTTCCTCATCTTCAGTAGCACAGAGGGGGAACATGTCCAACATGTCACAGAAGTGCTCACTCGATTAAGAAGCAATCAACTGTTCGCCAAGCTGTCAAAGTGTGAGTTTCACATCACTACAGTTGAGTTCTTGGGGTACATCATCAAACTGACCAGGATTGAGATGGACCCAGAGAAGGTCTGAACCATCAAGGAATGGCCAATGCCAGAATCAATACATGACATCCAATGATTCCTAGGCTTTGCCAACTTCTATTGGCGATTCATAGCACGCTTTGCTCGAATTGCCAAACCATTGACATCTCTGGTCAAACCTACAGAATGTTTCAAGAAGTTTGAGCTGCTGGAAGAAGCTCAACAGGCTTTCCACAAGCTCATACAAGTGTTCACAACGGCAGGAGTGCTTTGGCACTTCGATTACCATCTGCTGACAAGGTTGGAAACTGATGCAAGCGACTTTGCCATCACTGGTGTGCTCAAACAGGAGCACGAAGGACGTTGGCACCCTGTGGCTTTTTATTCCCGGAAGATGTCATCTGCAGAAAAGAACTACGAGATTCATGACAAGGAGCTCCTCGCAGTGGTCACCTGTCTTACTCAGTGGCGCCACATGCTAGTGGGACTGCTGAGTCAGTTAGTCATCCTCACAGATCACGAGGTGCTCAAGTACTTCAAGTCGCAATGCCACATCATGGGACAACAAGCAAGATGGGTGGTATTGCTAGCTGATTTCGACTTCATGCTACAATACCGACCAGGAGACAAGGGTGGCGAACCTGATGCTCTCACCAGACGAGCTGACATGCAACCAATCGGTGAGGAGCAAAAGCACAATGTATGGCAATTGTTGCCTCCCCAAGTGTTCGAAAAGGTCAAAAACAACATCACTATAGGAAGTGCACTACAGCAAAATTCAGCAGGAAATGTAGTAACAAGCATGGTACTACCGATCTCAGTGGAATCGGCCATACCAACGGGCCTAGACAACGATGTGGTATTAATGGCTCCCATGCTCACCATGGAGACCATAGCAACGAAAGGACTCAAAGACCTGACCAAGATCTTTCAGCCCTTGGACCTGGAGCTACAGGAAATACATGTCAAGAAGCCATTCGAGATCAAAGACAGCTTATGGCATAGTGGTGGAAGGTTGGTTATACCAAAGGTAACCATGCCAGGAAGAACCAATGACCATGGGTCACGAAGTGCTTGGGAGGTAGATGGCCAATCCCTTTCTGTTGAGCATCTATGATTCATGGTCATGGCTCAATGTCATGATGGCATAACGGCCAGTCATGTGGGTTGAGACGCCACCACCAAAGCAGCCCAAAGGCATTATTGGTGGCCCAACATGACAGCCTGGATTGCCAATTATGTTGCAAGCTGCCCTGTATGTGCCAGATACAAAGCTCCTCGTCATCATCTGTATGGCTTGTTGCAACCACTCGCCACACCAGAAAGGCCATGGGGCTCAATATCATTGGACTTCATTGAGGGCCTTCCAGTGTCAAAGGGGTTTGATTCCATCCTGGTCATTGTCAATAGACTGACCAAGTATGCTATCTTGGCCCCAACTCATAAGATGGTCACAGCAACACAAACTGCTGTCCTACTGTGGAGGTACATGATTAGACACTTTGGTTATCCAGACCATATGGTGTCCAACCGAGGAAGACAGTTCATTTCAAAAGCATGGAAAGCATTCACTATGGGCATAGGTGCTAAGCACTCCCTCAGCACAGCCTATCACCCACAGACTGATGGACAAACTGAGAGGGTCAACCAAGTAGTGGAGCAGTACTTGCAAATGTATTGCAACTATGAGCAGGACGATTGGGCTGACTTGCTCAAGACAGCGGCATTTGTGTATAATAACACAGTCCACAATAGTATCGGTGTCTCACCATTCTTCACTTGCTATGGTTGGAATCCGAAGGCCCATCCGGTCATACCTCAGCAGCTGGGAGTCAATGACCCAGATCATTTCGAGTACCTCATTGATGGGAAGGAACATTGCAAATACCTCCAGGACCAGATTAGGAGAGCACAGTGTCAAATGGTGGAACAATACAACCGGAAACACAAAGACATCGAATTTAAGGTAGGCGACATGGTTTATATCAATTGCCGGAACTGGAAGATGAGATGACCCATGCTGAAACTGGATACCAGGTTTGCAGGACCTTACCCAGTTCAAGAAAGGGTGGGCCGCTGAGCATATAGGATTACATTGCCAGCAAACCTCAGAGTCCATGATGTCTTCCATGTGTCAATGCTCAAGCCAGCAAAGACGAGCTCACTCCCTCAAAGGTCAAAACAACCAGTGGTACCATCACTACCAGATGAAGACCTCGAATTCGAAGTGGAAGCACTCATCGGTAAATGCACACGCAATCGAACAACCGAATACAAGGTCTTATGGTGAGGATACCCAGAGGAAGCTGCCTCCTGGGAGCCAGTGTCAAACCTCAATTGTCCTGACCTCATCCAGGAGTATGAGGTTTTGGTGGGGGGACAAGGTTAACAAACATGAGGAGAAGGCAGAAGTGGTAAGGAGGAAGTTGGGACAGATTTGAGCGAAATCTGCGAGAATAGCAGTGCTATTACAGATTACACGGAAATCAGTAATTGTAGTAGTGCTATGACATTTTCACAACAAGAGTGGGAGAGGACAGGTTTTTCCCACACACATGAGAAACCAAAGATGAGGTGACCAATGTAACAAGGTCAGGAGCAATCACACAAGGGTCAGGACACAGACTTAAAGGGATCGGAAGGAACAGAAGGCTGATATTGAAAGTTGTTGCTATATGTCGACATAGGAAGAAGGAGCAGGGGGAGGAGCAAGAGATGATCGGATCACCAGCTCCTCGTCTGTAGGGGCCACCCAAGTATCAATGGAATCCGGGGGGCCACCAGGCACGGCTACCGACTCATGTGGTTGTTGCTCCGAATACAACCTGTTGTGGTGGGCGACAAAGTCCTGAAGGGTATGCAAAACAGTACTCACCCAGTTCGAGTCAGGCAAATGCCATATGACCTGCATGGCTGTGGCCCAACCCATGGACATAATGGGGTCCAAAACCCATTCCTCTGACCACACAAACCTGGGGCCATACCCATTTGCGACTGTCAAATGGGCTCTTTCAGCTTGGTGCAAACCACGAGGCTGCATGCTTGGAGTACCGTTGCCTAGGTACTCCATGCCGGGATGGGCAGGGATACTATGCTCACAATTACCCAGACCAGCCAGGTAACAATGTGTGCAAGCATGGGGCACCCTGTTCCTCTCACCAAATGGGTTGGTGAAAGCAGAGGCAAAACAACTGGTAAAAAGAGAAAGGGGTTAGGGACAAATAGGAAAGGTAGTCATATATGGCAAGGGACACTTATGGAACCCGCAGCTGGAAGCAGCAGCGACATTGCCAGCTTGGCCAAGGCATACAGCCTTTGGTCAAATGCAACATGACCAGGCGATGTAACCGGCACTCCAGCAAAGTCCCAGTGGGGACATCCCAGTCGAGGGGGAAGTGGCAATCCATGACTCTGACCAAAAGGTCAGCAACCATGAATGGTTCAGCCCACTCCATGATCTCACCATTCGTCGGGAAATGGCGGTCAGGAGGAGGGGGGGGCGGAGTCTAGCGACCATGCCAGCGAGGAGGAGGAGTAAGCGGTTGCACATTCAACCGATACTCTGGGGTGACAGCACGAGGAGGAGCCAGGATGGCATCGACTATTTCGTTGGCAGTTGGAGGAGGGGTGGGGGAGCGAGCCAGCTCAGCTTCCCACATGGCTTGATGCTCAGGAGTGGTCAGCTCCCGAGCAGGACGACTCGTACCAACCTTGTTCAGGTCGTGAGGAGGAGGAGAGGCCGGAGAGTAGTCTTCTCCTGAGAGACCTGGTGCAACACGAGCAGGGGGAGGAGAGCCAGGAGGACTCTGGACAACCATGTCGTCATCCATTCCCAGAAACAGTGGCACCAATGGAGAGGAAGGTACCACCGGGGACGCGAGAGGATCAGCCAACCGGGCCAGGGGTGAGGAGGCGGTGGGCTCAGCGGTGTCAGCTACGACATCATGAGGACGAAGGCGGACAACAATCTGCTGACGTCCAGAAGGAGCCACAGTCCTTTCAGAAGAGGTTTCCTCTGCAGCAGTGCGTGAGCGGGTACAGTAACGAGGAGACACCATGTTGCACAATAAGTTGGGTGGCGACAACGTGGTTTGGTAGTGGTAAGAACAGACATGGCACAGGACTTGCCTCAACGGAGCTTGGCTTTTAAGAGGGGGGTAATGTCATGGGCCTGAGTGTGCAGGAAGCAGGAAGAACTGCTAGTTCATATGAAGGGAGCACAGGAATCAGGGGATTGGGTGGATCATAGGAATTGCAGCAGAAGTCGCCAAGATCTGCAGTAGAATCGGCTCTATGACAGATCTCAGTGAGATCGGTACGAACAAGGATGATATCATGAATTCTGATGAGATCAGTAGTAGGAGAGGTCATATAGTAGATTCCGCAGAGATCAGTGACAAGGATGTTCATACGATGAATTCACACACGCAGAGGACCAAGCTCTGCCAAGACGGGGACCGAGCTCAGTAAATTGCAGCTGGTTACCACTCAGGGGTTCACAAGATAGGAGTCAAGAGAACAGTCACCAGTTAGGAGGAAGGAGAACTGTGTCAAGGACACCAGCATATAGTTCATGAGGAAGAAGAGCTGTGTTGAGGAGGTCGACACGCAGCTCAAGAGGGACAGGAGTAGGGTTACAGGGACTCCTGCATAGCACTCGATGAAAGAGGTACTCTCTGGAGAGAGAGTTGGAGCAGTGGCACTGGCAGCACTGCGAAGAGGTATAAAGCCATACCTTCTCATCACTAAGTGGTCGAGTGGATCCTCATCCACTCTACTCATCAAACAAACTAGTATTACTTCAAGCAATAAGTATCATTAGTTCACAGTCAGCATAGTAGTAATCAACAGATTGCTCCTCATTGAAGTGCGTGCGTTGTATCACCGTTTCCTGACATCCGAAGGCAGTTCTAGCAAACCAGCGGTCTGGATATCGATAGAACCGAAGGCAGTCGTCCACTGCAGTCCGGGGATCACTTCAAGCGTTAGTCGACACACTGGACACTCATGTCGACATCATCTATCCATACTCACACCAGACCATTGGTGTCAACATCAAGTTCACTTAGAGACATATTGTAGTTTGATCATGCCGAGCTACCTCTGGACAGAGTGTCCACAGTGGTCAGTCAAAATCTGTCACAACATCAATACAACTACAGATTCCAACGAAAAAAGCGGCAGAGACGGTTCTGTCGCATATTACACTAGGAATCGTAATACCACTAGCGCTGTTGCATAACTCGACAGAATCGGTGATAGTACTGATACTACTACTGATCTCAGGTTTCAGGCACGCGACCGCTGACACCCCAGGGTTCCAGATTAATCTCACAGGATCAGTCAGAATCAGTCAGATCAGCATGCCTCAACAAGTCGGCTGATACAGTCAGATCAGCATGCCTCAACAAGTCAGCTGATATGAGCAAGTACTAGTAGACCCAGGAAGGAAGGTACTGGCATCAGAAGGAGAGGCACTTGGAGATAACCATAAAAGGTGGCAGGGAACCGAGCTCAACATCATGTGGACAGTTACTGCTCAAGGTGCATGTGTATAGCCACACAGGTCCAAGCATGGGGGGCAACTGCATGACCAAGCAGTTGGTCACGAGGTCCAACAGGTGGCTAAGGGGATTCATGAGATAAGGATGGGGAGGTGGTTGCTGAGAAGGAAGCAATGAATGGATTGGCTAAAGCAACGAGGAGGAGCTGTGTCAAAGGGGTCAACACACATCATCAGGTGGAAAGGGAGCAGGAAGGTGAAAGGAACAGTGTTGCAAAACCAGTATGCTGCAAAGATGGTAGGGGCACAGCACCCATGGGGTCAACACTAGCAGGGGAAATGAGATAGGTGTCACAGGCAACACCAATCAAACACATAAATACTCCTGTTCTCACCATAGCCTATGAGTGGATCCCCATCCACTCTTTACTCTATCTACTTTACTTACTTACTCAGTTACATACCATTGCAATAGCAGTGCTCTTGCAATGACTCTCAACATGTGTGTTGTATCACCATTAGTTGACAACTGTAGGTGGTGTTCTTCAACACTTGCAGTCCAGTTTCTTGCTGTAGGCAGTGTTGCTTGACACCTGCAGTCCAGTCAGTTATTGTAGGCAGTGAATCACACCTGCAGTCCAGTAACTCCCATCCTCTGTAGGCAATTAGCATATCACAGTCCAGATGACATCCAAGAGCATTATCAACAGTACTACAAACACTTGTACTGTAGGAGAGGGTGTTTCACTCACTCACCAATGACCAGTGTCTGAGCCATGCAACCTCTGAATGGAGTGTTCAAGGCAGTCAGTCGAGACTTACCAGGCAGCAATGTTTGGTTATGTTTAGGCAAAACATACTGAGTAGACCTTACTCCATCAAACTCAATATAACACCCCAAAACTAAGTCTCTGGCGCGCGACCGCTTACACTTCTCAGGCAGAGGACTGACAATAATGATGCTACTCTTGGACCTAATTGGGTGTCTGCTTTCAAGCAGCAACATCCAGAACTCAGAAGCTACTACTCTCACAAGATGGAGGCTGCAAGGGTACAGGCCACTAGTGTTCCATCAGTTGTTGAAGCATACTTTGATGTCTTGGAGAAGACTATTGCCAAGTATGAGATCCTACCTGAAAACCTCTTCAACATGGATGAGACTGGGTTTCTCATTGGACAAAGTCAATGCTGATACATCATTGTACCCAGGGAGAATGGGAAGAATCAGTGCTTCAGGTCACAGCCAGGCAATTGGGAGACTATCACAGTGATTGAGTGCATTGGTGCACAAGGGACAAAACCACCACCTATGGTTATCTTTTGGGGCAAGAAACACATGCAGGGCTGGCACCACAATCACACTGCAGCTAAGGGCTGGGTCTTTGCAACAAGTCAGAATGGCTGGACCAACAATGAGCTTGCACTACACTGGCTCAAGGACTGCTTGGACAAGCACACCAAGCAAAGGGCTCAAGGAAAGTATCAGCTGCTTATCCTTGATGGTCATGGCTCCCACATCACAGCTGAGTTCATTCAGCAAGCATGGGACTCCCACATTATCCTTCTCTTCCTTCTGTCAGAGGTCGCGCGCCCAAAACCTGTTATCTGTAATAGAAACGCGTCTATTACGAATCCTGTTGAGATATGTGACAATGCTTGAAGTATTACTGTTCTTGTTGAGATATGTAGTAGAGATGTCTCTATCACTTTTCTCACCCAAAGATGTAGTAGTGGTTTTGCTATTGCAGGTTTTAACTAACCACTGGGGACAGTCCATCCAGAGGTAGCTTGGCATGATCAATAACTGTTATGAACTGGTACTAACACCAAGGTCTGGTGTGATTGAGATTGTTGATGTCAGCAACACAAGTGTCCAATGTGTCAACTGAATGCTTGAGGTGATCCCCAGACTGCAGTGGACAACTGCCTTTGGTTCTATTGTTATCCAGACCACTGGTTTGTGTCAGGGGTCTCGCGCCTGAAACCCAGGTCGGTCTGTCGAGATACTCGGCGACTATCAAACTGTGCGACAGCTATTGTCTCGGTGTCATGGGCCTGAATGCTCAAGAAGCAGGAGGGTCACTGGTTCATATGGAAGGAACACAAGTATCGAAGATCTAGTCGATACCATTAGAGAGCATGTGCAGTCTCCATGGAGACCATGGACTCCTATGGACTCACATGCAAAGGAGGACCGAGCCATATGCAAGGAGGGCCAGGCACAGCCACAAGGAGGACCAAGCTCAAGGAGCAGGCACAGCCACAAAGAGGACCAAGCTCAAGGAGCATGCAGATGGTTACCACTCAGGGGCTCGAGAGACAAGAGTCAAAGGAACCATCACCAGTCAAAGGAGAAGGAGCAGTGTATAGGGAACCAGCAAGGAGGTCCTGAGGAGGAGGAGCAGTGTCGAAGGAGTCGACACCACTCAGGAGGCACAAGGGTGCCAAGCAAGCAGGATAGCAAGGAGGAGGAGGAGTGTCGAAGGAGTCGACACAGCTCAAAGAGGCACAGGGGTGCCAAGCAGGCAGGAAAGGCCCCTGAACAGTACTCGATGAAGAAGGTACTCTCTGGAGAGAGAGCAGGAGCAGCATCGCTGGCGATGCTGTGAAGAGGTATATAACCATGCTTTCTCATCATCAAAGGTCGAGTGGATCCTCATCCACTCTACACACACCATAACTAGTTATCACTTCAGCATAAGTATATATTAGTTTCAGTCAGCCTAGTAGCAATCTATCAAGGTTGCTCCTCATTGTAGTGTGTGTGTAGTATCATCACTACCTGATGTCTGAAGGCGCCCCATAGCAGGTTAGTGGTCCGGATATAGATAGAACCGAAGGCAGTAGTCCACTGCAGTCTGGGGATCACCTCAAGCATCAGTCAACACACTGGACACTCGTGTTGATGCCACCAACCTTAACACCAACACCATCAACCTCATCATCATCAACACTCACACCAGACCTTGGTGTCATCATAACCTACGCATTGATATTGATCATGCCAAGCTACCCCTGAATGGAGTGTCCACAGAGGTCAGCCGAAACCTATGATAGTATATACAACGAAAGCCACCTGCTGTCATTGCACAACTTGATAGTTGCCAAGTGACTAGCTCATCAAGACTGATACCGAGTGTCAGGGGTCCTGCACCTGAAACCCAGGTCGGTCTGTCGAGGTACTCGGTGACTGTCAAACTGTGCAACAGCTATTGTCTCGGTATCTGTCTCGACGAGCTAGTTGTTCGGTGACTATCAAGTTGCACAGTGACAGTGGGTGGCATCCATTGTATATACTATCGTAGGTTTTGGCTGACCTCTGTGGACACTCCATTCAGGGGTAGCTTGGCATGATCAATATCAATGCGTAGGTTATGATGACACCAAGGTCTGGTGTGAGTGTTGATGATGATGAGGTTGATGGTGTTGGTGTTAAGGTTGGTGGCATCAACATGAGTGTCCAGTGTGTTGACTGATGCTTGAGGTGATCCCCAGACTGCAGTGGACTACTGCCTTCGGTTCTATCTATATCCGGACCACTAACCTGCTATGGGG